TCTTTAATAGTGCTATTTATCTTTGCCAGATATGTCCAACAACAAGATATAGAGCAAGAATTCACATGTCTAATGATTTATAACTTTTTTGTGTCCATAGAACAGCAATACTCTGGGGTAAACGCCCCCACAATTTCCCTTCTCGCTCTTCTGCGATTAACGACTGGCTTGGCCTTGCTTCAGCTCTTATCCGCAGCTAGAACCTCGCTTTCCAAAATAATTGAACTTTAATAAGCCTTTACTAAGCAGCTATTGAACGTAAGCCGTCTGAAGGTATTACTGGCTTGTGGTTTTTCAAACAGTATTAACTATCCACTTCTATTTCTATTGACAATATAAGTCCCAACTTTTATCAGCTACTAAGAGGTTCACAACTTCTACCTTGCGGGGTTCGGTCAGAAGACCGTCTTCAAGAATTCATTGATAAATAATTTGTCCTCTGTTTGCAAATTTTCTATTCTACGTGATCGTAGGAGAAAAGCAGTAACATCTTTATCATTGATATTAAAATGTATAAATCCTCAATCTTATAGTTGCTACTATGTAATTATTATTAGATATTCCGCAATAACGACATAATTATTACAGCCTACATTGCTAGTTTGAAGGACGTGCACATATATTTAATTTCACAGATGAATTATTACTATTTCAACAACGTGTATTGATTGTCACTAGAGTTATATATTGTTACTAACAATAAGTCATTCCAAAAAGCCATTTTAAATTCCAACAATTCTTGTTTTTTTTCTGCAGCAAAAGTCGTTTTTTTAACATAATATGGGTATTCCAGGGGACGATAATGAATTAGTTATGTAACGATTTATTAACGAGAGAATAGTGCTAAGATTATTTAACCTAATTATAAAATTACGTTTCTTTGGCTTTAAATTCCTTTTACATTTATATGAACCTAAATTAGGCCATAATATGTTCAAAAATTAATGCCAACCAACAAAAATCTAGTCAAAATACATTTTCATTTTATGATTGTATTCAAAGAAGTCTTTCTTAAATAATGATTGTTTACAGACAACCGCAAATAAAATATGTAATATATATAAATAATCATCTTAAATCACGCCTTCTACATTTCTTATAATAATATGACGTCCGAGATAATTCTTTCCATATTAAGCACGTCCTGGCATTACTAATTAGCGATGAGACGTCAAACATATAGATGATTCAATTTCGATTAGAAATTATTAATATTATTTATCGCATATTCATAAAGTAGAAAAAGGCACATTTAAACGGCATTTGGAATTTCAGAAATAGGACTTACAGACACATAAAAACTTTGGTATAAATTTTGTAAGCTAAATAAGTTATTAAGTTCAAAGATATAATAATAATTAATAAGTAACAGATTTAGGAAAAAAAATAGAAAATTTGTAGGTATCCTCCCCACTCCATTAGGTACAAAAAGTCAAAAACATTAATTGCAAAATCTTAATATAAAAACTAACTCATTATGAATTATTTCAAAATCAATGGAATTTTTTTAATGACATTAAGTTTCTTTCTTTATCTTACTTAAATCGTGATTTAAATAATTTGACAAGAAAAACTGTGTCGAGGTATAATAAAAAATAAATTGATTTGAAAACTGACTGTTGTTAAGACTGCAAAAAAGTAAAAAAGGAGTACCCTTCTCTTTCTTTTCTCTTTATCAGACAAAGGTATACAAATCCATTTGCCATAATAAATTTTTCGACACTAACGACCCTTGCTTTCCGACCGAATGACCTAAAAATCACCGGATAAATTCAATTTAGAATGCCAGCACGCATGCAGTTCTTTTACGAATCGCTCTTCGTTTAAACATTAATTAAAATTTATATCGACTCAAGAAATCAAATATTAAATACTACGTTATTAAAATAAAAAGAATTAAATACCGTTATTATAAATACAGATAGTTGTTGTAATGTTGGAAACTTAGAAGAATCATATTTAAGAACTCATCTTACACGTTAGATTCTGCTTCAAAAGCAGTTTGCTTTAATCTAAGATTCATACAGTTTACAAGACAGTAGAGTTGACTAATAAAAATCATATTAACATAACACGTTTAAAGATCTGAAGAATGCTATAAAATTAACGAGAACTGTTAAAACTCGGCGCCAGATAATTTGCAAGCAAAGGAAATGCAGCTGACGTTTACAAATGAAATATAAGATACCATTCCGAATCAAATGAATGCCACTATACATATATATTTTTTTCTAATTTAAGGATAGGTAATATTTAAAAAGGTCATCTTTAATATATTTTATTATAACGTGTTCTATATGTCATTCAAAGCTTTTTTTGTGAGTGTAAAATTCATTATAATTCAATTTTAATTACTCCAAATGTCAACATTTTAACTCGAGTGTTTCATATATAATATTATAGAGAATATATGTATCAAATGAAACTGGAATCAAATGAAATTGGGCAGGCGACTAGAAAGTGACTGTTAGGTACGTATTAATAATTGACTTTGTCACATGACTGATTTTCAAATGTTATTCGTTACATGTATTATTTTTAATAAGCTCAAATGTTTTCAATAACAATCTGTCAGCTGTCATACTTTCGCTCGCGAATTTTCTAACAAGTAAATGTGACAAATGCTGAGGTTGCGTAAGATTTGAGTGTTAAATTCTAATTATTATTGTAATACTGTTTAAATATAAATCAGGCGTGATGTTTCCACAATAGGTATGAAAGTATCAGCTGCATGAAACGGTTTTTGTCTACTACGTTTCGACAATTTAAATTTTTTTTGCTCAATTTGCAATAGAGAAAAAAAAATCAAAAAAGATATTTGAAGTAAAATAATAGTCATTTCATGGCCTAAAATTGTAAACTCTTGCCTTGCATAAGAGAGAAAATAATTTGTGAATCAAATATGAGAGACCGTTTGATGGGAATAACTGGAAAGTGAAATGTACTGAACAAAAGAATTATCATTAAATTGAGGTGAAATTATCCATCCAGAATAGTTTTTACTTTCTTATATTACTTGATGCTATTAAACAATGTTATTTGTTTATTGATTATATTGCTAACAATTTTACTATCAGCCCATCAGAACCTACTGCTGAGCAAAGGTCTCTGCTCAAATGGAGAAGATTTGAGCATTAATCACTACACTTGCTCACGATGGGTTAGTGATTTCAAACTTATAATTTGAAATATAAATCCAGTTATCCTAACAATGTTTTCCTTCACCATCTCTCAGTGGTGTCTAAATACTCTTAGAAAGTATATATGACTCGGAAAAGTGACATTGGTACTTGCTAGGTTTTGAACCTGTATGCATGTGCACGAAAGGTAGGCCTTTAACTACTAGGCCAACACAACTTTATTTAATAAAAGTATTCTAATAATTTAATAAGAGTCAAATATTTAAGAAGGATGAGCATGATGGGACAGTAAAATACTTATGGTCGAAAGATTGATTTCCACATGACTAAGAATATGTTATTTAAGAATTTATCCTTCTTCTATATATTTTTTTTTTACCAATATTATTCTTATATAAGAAAATTTCTGGTGGGAGCTAATAAAAACTCATACACCTATTAGTCTGAAAACCAGTTATCATTATTAATTCATAAGTACAATTAATAAAAAGTATTAAGAAAAAAAATTTACCCAAATGAGTCATTGAAATAGGCATTATGCATTTTATAGTTTTTAATAAATACCACAACATACTATCTATAGGAGGGTTCATAAAAAGTACAGGAAATTGACAATAATTATTAAATTATCTAATAGAGTAAAATTGTTTAAATATGTATATATTAAATAGACTGGGATCTTATCAAAATTTATAATTTTTGCACTTTATCTAATCTTGATAATATTTTTTTTATAACAAGGAAAAAGTAATAGTAATAAATTTCTAATACTTGTATTATATCATATTCTTTGGTACAGCGCCATCTGGTGATTGCATTGTCAAATATTTAGCTTTCATTAAGACCTACATATGACACGCTGTATTTAATTAACATGAAGTCTTATCAGTAGTGAATTTACAAAAAACTTTCACTATAAAAATATTTAGATCATAAAAATCAAAGACAGCCTAAATAAGGATACCGATACATTGAATCAGAATTTTAAAGGTTAAGTTGTTGGATATAAAATTTATTGTTACTTATATTCAAAGTGATGTTTTATTTTGATATTCATTTCCAGATTTCTGTTTAGTACTAATATTTTTGTTACAAACATAATTAATAATTAGTCCAGATATCACACCTTGCTTGCGACTATTTAAAAATATGATAATGATAATTTTCTTTCAATAAAATCAAAAATATAACCGCAAATACTGTCAGTAACTTTTGAGATATTCATAACTAAAAGTTACTAATTATTAAGTTTTTAATGAATTTAATTAGTATTTTGTCAAATATCCTAACTTAATATCATTCTTATTTGAAATCATAATGTATATCATATATGATTGTATTCACATGTTGGGAATTTCAATGCATAATGTCACTAGTATTGTTTCTATGGTATGCTGGTAAATATAATTATAATAATGAAAGTGACAGTAATAAAACAGTTAGTTTTAAGAACAACAAGATCACCTTTCTATTTGTGTTAACACTCAATCAGTCTAGTGCATTGTAATGTGTGAATATTGCTTTCACTTAATACCCCTGATTGATACTTCCTTTTATTATGAATTCATTTTAATATTCATAGCCATTAGATAAAGATTATTATTTTTTACTGTTTCTATTTCATATTAATAATACTTTAGTCAGTTTTATATTGTTAAAATATATAAACATATGAATCTGGGCCAATGTTAAATGTTTAAACTAGTAAGTGAATGTAGTTTTATAACTTCTTATTTATGACTAGCTATATTACAGTAAAAACGAAAACTAATTAAATGATGTGCTAATAATAAGACAAGGGAAAAGAAAACGACAGGAACCGCTCACTAATGTAACAATTGCATAAAAACATTTGGTTACTTACGGTTCGGCCTCTATAGATTGCAAGCGAGCGACATAATTCGATGGAATGTAGCCTTCTTGTTTTGTCTTCTTACTTCTAGCTAGCCACCAGTCACCCTGTGTATCATTGAGTATCTCCAAATGTTCTCCTTTCCTAAAACTAAGGTCCTCATCGGTTCTTGCATCGTAGTCATATAGGGCAACAAATATTCGGGTGGGAGGGACCTCACTCGTATCTGGGCCTTGATTAACTGTAGATCTTATTGGATCTGGAGGTGGTGTAGGAACAGGAGTCTGAAACTGTCTAGGGTCTTCTTCATGAGGATTAACCCTTTCATTTTTTGTTTTAGAATCCTTTTCTCCGGGTCTACTAAAACAGTTCCCCATTTTCTCTTTACAAGGTGAGACTGGATTCACTTGTTTTATGTCAAATCACACACTGCTGTAAATTAAAGCAACTGTTAAGTGCTTTATTGTCCATTAACATTTTATTTTGTCACATGAAAGTCAAAAAATACACACGAGAAACATAATTTTATAGTAAACAAAGAACATAAAACCCCGATCGGACATGAATACAAGTAGCCATTTTGATATGCCATAGACAAGATAAATAAATACATCAATGTGCTATAATAAATATAGGACTTAGTAACCATGTATTTTATATACTAATATAGTATTACATTCATTATTTTATAAAAGTAATAAATAAAATGCTGTAGATAGATTCTAAATAATAATTTTATTTTAATACACTAATACTAGCTCTACCGCCCTCTATGGAAACATTATTGAACTATTTATTACTATTAACGTAATAAGATTTACAATATTACCCATAGATGGCACAAACAAGTAAATATAACGAACTTACGAAATAAATAATTATACCTTGTACTGTCTCTACCTACAATACATTCGGTCCACTAGGATATGGAAAAGTCAGTACAGGATACTTTCCTCGCCGGCAAAACCAAAATTGGTTTGCATCGGTCACCTTTTTTCACAAAACTCAGCGACAGCGATACAAAGACTTTTATTGTACCTACCGGGCCATTTATGTTCCCAAGTTCCCGAGGTTCAATTAGTGTACATACCTGTGTAAGTCAGTCAATTAAAATTTAAATCATTAACGATTTTAGTTTGGTTTCATTTTCTTGTTATAACTTTAATGTGGTTTAAATTTAATAAAAGCTATTAAACTCCATATATCATATCCAACGAATCTCCGGTAGGAAACATAATTGACTTTTAAAACAAATATTAAGGGAAGGTACTTAAAAGTATCAGTATCTAATTTATAAATATTCTATTTAGATAACAGACTCCGTTTTAATTATATAATATTAATAAAAAAATACTGGCAACAAGAAATATAATTGTATTTTAATTATATAAATTGTAAAGTTTAAAAGTACATATTTTAGCGTAGGTACTGTTGTTTCCCGGTACTTAAGCTCCTTGATCATGTTCTTGGAATTTTTAGTTTTAATCAAAATTATTATAAATTAAAACAGTAATTATTGCTGGATATATCTTGCTTAATACATTATATATACGTAACTAATTAGAAAAATACTTATCACGCGTTTCTAAGGATTTTTAGTTTAGGGAGAGACTTTTCTTTACCTAGTATTATTTTTATAATTACACATAGGTTATAGTTAGCTAACCAGCTGCAAATAATTTTGTTAATACTAAACATTTCGTTTGATGATGTAAGTTTATCGTTTTAGTCTTTTTTTTACTTTGTGTCCTTAATTCTTGGCAAAGTTTCTAGGTCAAACGAAAAGCACCTCTATCTTTTGATGTCTTTGTGATAGTAATAAGTATCTACAATAAATGAGCCTTGTTTAATGATTTTAGATTTAACTTTGCTTTCCTAATTACTTAATTACTCTCCTAATACACAAATACAACACACAATTGTTCCCTATCACTGTTGGAGAAAAAACAATCATATATGAATAATTTTGCATAATCAAATAAAGTTTAAGTGTCTTTAACTTTTCTATCCTAAACAAAATTTCCAAATAAAGTTATGTATGGTTTGTACAACTTAATCCTTATTAAAGAGCTTTAAAATACTTATCTCGTGGTTACACCCGTCATGAGGTTAATTTATTCGAGCCCACCTGTGTAGAAACTACGACTCGGTGATAAACTTTTACGATTATTTTATTGCTGAAGTTATTTAATATTGGTAATTCCAAATAAACTATGTCCTTCAACATCTGCGGTAAATTATACATTAATAAGCATATTCTTTTTTAAATTACCAGAATAATTGAATTAAATTAGGTTATTAGATAATGATGTTAAACACAATATTATTTAAAAAAAATTATTCCCGACACTCGTCGTCATATATTTTTAGGCTATATATATCGTGTGTTTTCATATAACAATAAACAATATTACATATATAGTTTAGTTCTTTATTTCTTTCGCATTATTTTTCTTACCGTCTCCTGACGTCAAAGTAAGGATACAAATGAAAAATTATAAGGTATCACTGACAAAAAATAGAGATAATAGACATGTATAAAGTAAATTATTAATAAGTTTTGTATATATGTAATTAACTTGATTCAATATTTACGTCACCACTTAAGTGATTAGGGTTTAGGATTTCATGACCTATTTGTTGAACAATATAGGAAACAAATATTCCTTAATTTTTTAACAAATAGGTCATGACATCTGCTTTTATAAATATTTCAAACACATATATATAATTGATATGAATATAATGTAATATATCTATTTACTTGCCGGTGACTTTCAAAGTTCAAATTGTTAGCGTCTATGCCTTGAGGTACCAAGAAAAGAGGTGACCTGTAAAAACGCTTGTGTCCAAAGAATATATGATGCGAAAGCCTTTTGTTTCTATTAAGTATGGCGCTTGGATTAATAAGATCTCTTTTTGTGTCATCAATAGAGTTGTAAGAGCATTTTTAGTAATACGTTTGGCAAAAATTGTTCAAATGTGCTATCAGTTCCGGTTTATATTTCCTTATAGGAAATGGAACTTCCATAAGCTATCAGTTAGTTTTAAAATCATCCGTTGTAAAGAATTGCATTCCATGAAAGCCTTAAACTAATCTCCATAAACATTTGTTAACATACAAAAGTTGGATCTAAGATTTTCGCGAGTTTTATTCATTTCAATGAAACTACTATTTCCCGTGATCACGGGCAGATGAGATGCTGATCACAGTTGCTGAAAAGTAGCCGAAACGTCGGGAGTATGTATGTAGTTTTTTACAACCTCGTAGTATGTCCAAAAATACAAGTTTGATTTAAATAAACAAAAGTCGTCGCTGTTCATATTCCGTAAATTTCGTCCGGCGAGATCACAATTTCAGACTAGTCCGGTGAAGTGGGAAATATTGTTTTAGAATTTTTTTCTAGTTTTATAACTCGTCTTCATAATTTAGTAAATTGCTATTTTTGAGAAAAGTATTCCTAATTGGAGTACGATTCCCTATTGTTGCAGATACTAATAGATTTTACTTCTTGTTGATATAAATATTCGAAGCCTATATTTGGGAGCATCTTAATATTAAAAATTCTAAGCACTCGGATGACTAGAAGGATGTAGGATATCCCATACTCACAATGCAAAATCGTGATCTCTTTGAAGTCTGACAATTGAATGGTATGTAATTATGCGTAATGACCATCACTTTCTGTTTTATCATGAGTTTTACTGCACGCAGTTTCAATTCTTTGTCATTAATGATGAAACGTAACTAAACGGCTGTACGTACTTAAAATAAAAGCAGAGTACACAAAATAATATCTTATGAAAAAAGTTGTATCTTATATCCTGTATTTAATTCTTATATTACGTTATTTCATATCTTCCATACAAAAATCGTATATTTTTTGGCAATACTTTTTAAAATAATACCAATATTGATGTTTACATGACGAAGAGAGAGAGAATAAGCTATAAGCCATAAGCCTGATGTAAGTATTCATTAATATAGAAACAATAACACTAATAAAGTAATTACTATTGAAGCATCGCCTACTATCGTTATCGTTAGGATAGCCTTGTTATGTTGTCTATATAATAATATTTGCTTCCAAACCCTTTAGGAAAATTAGTAAAAAAATATTGTACGAATTTTAGTCTATGAATATTTAAAGATTGTTAACACAATGTCAGTGCCGGCGACTGCAGGACTGATTACTTAATCGTTGTGATAAGTTGCTAATTTTCATTTTGAATACTTAATCAACTTGTCTTTTGTATGTAGGAGTAATTTTAGCTATTACAAGTACACTGTACATAGCTTTCGTGGGCCTGAGAAAGTGTTATTTTTTATTATTTCGTTTGACGTTTGTTTAATCTTTTGAGATTTGTCGTAGAATGTGTCCTTTTTATATAAATAATACTATGTTTTCCTCATGTCTCCTGTTTTTTGCTTATATGCCTTAAATATTAAGAATATTGCGATGTTTCAAGTATAGTATATTATAATATTTATATTAGTTATGGGTGTCATGCCCAATGCACAGGATCAATGTTTCAACACATTTTTTAAATTCAATTTTCGAAAAGCACTTTAATTTATTTCATATTATATATATATCATACGAGAAAGAAGAAGAAAATTTTCTTGTATTATTACTACAAAATAAATTAATATTACTTATTTAAATGGAAAAATATATTTATTTTAATCTTTGGAAAAGTTACTCTCGTATTGTTTTTTGTACAGATACATGTAAGTATTAATTTCAACCATGAGCATGAATCTCAAAGCAATAAAATATATATCTAAAGAGAAAAATTTATAACATACATGTAAAAACATTACTTTAATACATACAGATTTCCTTTTTGATAATCCCCTCATAGCCTAAAGTAATATAGTGTCATATTTTGATTAAAGCCTGATATGTATTTATATTTTTATATACATATATACATCGGTATATACCGAATAATATTTGGCATATGCCAAATGAAAATTACGTTTATTTCTTAACCAAAGAATACCATAATTTAATAAGAATAATTTTTTTTTGTTGTTAGGTTTTACACAAAATAGATGTAGAAACAAATTCCAGAATTAACAAGCATTATTCAATTTAAATATAAAAATTTGTCTTCATTAAAGATATTTTAATATAATTTTTAAAGAACATTTATTTCTTTTATACACATTTTATAAATGAAAATAGAAATCCTAAAATATGAATAACTTTGCATCATTTTAACAAGGTGGTTGTTGACAATAATTTAACTAAATGTAGAGTAGCGAATGTTTTAGATCTCAATAACTTAACTATTCTTATCAAATTACAGCAAATGGGGACCACAGAAACCAAGTTTTTGATTAGTTCCGTAGATTGTTTAATTAAACTTG